AAAGGATTATAATACACACGTACCGGTATGCACTCGCATTTGATGCAATACATGACTCCGAAGGGCGGTCCCAAGTCCGCGAACCACGTCGAGCCCAATTCGCGAATCTGCTTGCCGAAAGTGCATTCTGAAAAGAAAGGAAAAAATCATCGCGTCGTTATCAATCGTCGTCCAATATTACCATATTACCGTGAAATAACATTAGCGATGTAAATATAAACATCTTGTCCGATTAATGATTTCTCATCTTATCGATGACTGATACTGCGCTACGAAGATTATACTTCGCAGACATCGAGAGGACATTGGCTAAACGTTCGGCAGAAAAAACGAAAATATTTTCTATTTTGAGGATTCTTCAATAAAAAGAAGAAACAGAATTTTTATTACCTGCAATATTACATATTGCCGCAGAAGAAAACTTGATTCACTCTTTCCATCTTATCCTCACACGTATACCCATGTAAGATTCTTTAATACGATCGGTTCGTATATTTAGACCCGGTGAGAGAAAGTAAGAATAAAAAAAACCGATCGTATTAAAAAAATCTTACCACAGTTGCAAAGCTGCTCTTTCTGTCAAAAGCAGCCATTATCATGGTAGTCATATAAAAAAAGAAGATATATTTTAAACGCAAAACACAGCTCATCGCTGACGCACTTCCGCTGTCATCATCGATGAATGAGACGCAATTTGATGCGAGTATAACGTAACACGCTCGGTATGTACATACATTGATCCGCGTGCATATTCATTCGCATTCACCGATATTATGCGTCGCGCGTTCATTCAAACCGTCGCGTCGCGTCGCGTCGCATCGCGTCGCGTCATATAGAGACATCACCGAGACGCGATGATCGACGCATCAGTCATTCTCGATGTAAAACTCGGGCTCCTGTTTGCAAATTACGTATCGTGTGAACCAGAGAGAAAAAAGATTTCCTATCAACGCAAGAGGAATTACAAAATTTAACTGTCAAATTTTTGTGCTGTTTATTTGACAACTATTTTGTATTTGTTGCAAATAATTTTTGTAGCAAGTGCAAAAAAGAATATTTGTTACATCAGCAAATAATTTTCCGATCTCTGTATTTACCAACTGAATTTGCTGTCATGTCATAGGATTATTCGTTCATGGCAAATTTTTTCTCTCTGTGCAGCTGATCGATGCCGGTCGATGACAAAACGGACGAGTCTCTCCGGTTCGCCGCTTCGAATCCGGATTAGTTTTACTGCGTAAAACGTAAATCCCAAAGAGAGAAGAGATAAAGACGAGACCGTTATCTTTTACAACAAGCTGCCGATAGCCAGTAGCAAAACACGTAATAATACGCTCCATTAAATCGATAACAATATCTTTTTCTTAAGTTTTTTTTTTACTTTAATATTTCATTAGATTCGTCTCCATTCGCTAGGAAGACAAGGAGAGAGTAAGATTGCAAGCTGCTATTAGCAATATAATTATTTTCCGTCAGTTATCCTTTCTTTTCCACAGTGTAAAAATCAAGGCGGGCGTGGAAGCGCCCGAGAATAACACGGTGAGAATAGCTCGCGTGCATCTCGCGGTGTCCTTATTATCCTGTATAAAGTAAACTAATTACAATAAGTACCGCCTTATTTTCTTAAGTCCACAGTTCTGCGCGCAATCCAAAATTAACGTTCGAGACGCTCGAGACATCAGCTAAAAGGTTGCAACTTTTTTTTCTATGAATTTCGAAACTCTCAGCCTTGCTCGTAGAACGATAGAACGTAAATGGTCAGATCCATAAGTAAGAACCAATCGGCTCGGTGAGCAAACTACATTTCAAAGCTTTCAAAAAGAAAAAAAAAAAGGTTGCAACCTTTGGGCTCTGATTCACTGTACATATCTCACTCTTAATATTATAAAAGAGAAAATCGACAATTATTTCTCACCCTGAGAAAAATATTCTGATTAAAGCAACAAAAGAACTCAACAAGAATAGCATTTTGACGAGACCAAATAGAATTTCTCGTTAAATCTCTTTTGTTGATTTAATCGCAGAACGTTTCTGTCAGTGTCATATGTCTTTTAAAAAGATCAAACGATCTTTGTCCTATATTATTGCTCTAATATCAAGTAAACAGATAAATATTTACTATTTAGATATGCGTATGTGTGGGTAAACGAGGAAGAAACAAAGAGATAGACAATGTTGTGGAAAAATAAATCTATTGGCGGAATTTTCGTGATCATACCGCTCTAAGCTACTCAAAAACTTCATCCCAATGAGAGAGAGAGAGAGAGAGAGAGAGAGAGAGAGAGAGAGAACTCGGTCGTGTGTGAGTTAGAGAAAGGGAAATGGAGAGAGGCCCGTTTTGCACGAGGTCATTGCACTGCGTGCGCTAAGTCGTTCTAAGCGCAAAGTCGCGGCCCTAAGTAACTAGGAGTCCGAGAGAGCCACGACACAAGCTACCGCATCGAAAATATGCGAGTCACGCGGCATAGCGTGGTAAGGTGAAGCGTATTAGGTCTCTCCTCTTCTCTTCTCTTTTCTCTCTCTCTCTCTCTCTCTCTCTCTCTCTCTCTCTTTCTCTCTCTCTCTTCTCAATAATGACGACTCCTTCGGCTTTTCCTCCGTTTCTCTCATCATCCGGGGTGGCTTTCTCGGGCGACGCGACACGCTTCTCCGCGTCCATGAGTGTGCTAGTATAAATCGAGTTTTCCCGACAAGTGCAATCACTTTCAGCGATCGTTATTATCACGACTCTGTATACGAATGATCGTGACTTAACGCGCGGAGCTCGAGTTGAGAATTAATAACATTTCGCGCGACGCGTACTCGCAACTCATCCGCGCGTACGGCTCTTGCCAGTTGCCAGCGGACAAAATAAATTTCTCCCCTTTGTCCACACGTGCGTGTCCGTGCACGTGTGTGTGTATGCACGCCGTACGTCCACGTGCGTGAACCGAAGAAGCGTAAATTCTAATCAACGGCGAAGCTTCAAGCGGTCGTTAGATCTAGACTATCGATATTGTTGCACAATATTTGATATTGCACAATATTGTTGATCGTCTGGAGACTGCATTACAGCCTCTAAATTATTTGTTTCGAATCGTTTAAATATACTGAAAAAAGAGTCTGATAATAGCTACCAAATGTTGGGTAAAATTATTTCAATCAAATATTCGGTTAATATAACGAAAATATAATTTTACTTATAATTTGGTTTTTAAAATATTATTTGGTAATATTATAACCGAACATTTGATAAAAATTATTTCACATTTGACAGCCAATTATACCAGATTCTTTTTTTTTTCTTTTTGGTAAATAAAACATCAATAATATCGTATAAAATAATAATATTGAGCTAAATAATGCTTAATATTAACCGAATATTTATCTAGATCAGACGCCGCTTTACAAAGCATGCATAAATATCGTTTGGAACGAAAACTGCGAACGCGTGTACTCGAGAAGACGTGCAGGCAGTAATGGTCACAATCCACAAACTGTCCTCGGGCGATACTTGGCGTAATGATAAGAGCTACAGCACACAGAAAAAAACGTAAAGCAATAAGACGTAACCAATGAGGGAATCGATCAAATCACAGTAGAAGAGACTGTAAGGCAATAACGTGAGCAGTAGCAAATAAAAAATGTTGATGAGAGCTATTATTGCTTATGTCAATTACTACTTATGCTTTTTGTGTACCGTAGTCTTAACAACCTGCACGATTACAACGATCATCGACGATAATGCTTTCGAGATAATTGAGATCCATTATTAGAATGTCAATATTTCGTGAACAAATTGTAGTTCATTTCATCAGGACGAGAGACAGCAGTCTGATACTCGGATATATTACCCAACCACTTTAAATCGTGGACATTGCGCTGAAAGTCACGCTCGACTTCGCGAGCCGAAGAGCCTTCCTCTTCTTCTTCTTCTTCTTCCTCGAGAAAGAGAGAGAGAAAGAGAGAGAGAGAGAGAGAGAGAGAGAGAGAGAGAGAAAATAAAATGTAGTCCGCTCGTGCTATGCGATGCCATGAGTACGTCTTCGCTCGCTAATATAAATAATGCGAGCGTGAAAAAGGAGCGCGCGCGCGCGCGCGCATGCAACGGAATGCACCGGACCCGTAATCCACTAAGGAGGAGGTTAAGCGAATGGCAAACACGTGCTACACCTTTCGTTTTTCGCTTTTCCACCCTCCTCCCCGGCCGCGCCGTCCCCCGCATTTCAGTATCCTTCTCGGATAGATTTACGAACGTGACGTCTATCCGCTCGTATACCTCGCCTCCCGTTTCTTTCTCTCACTCTGCCTTTCGGCATCTACCCGCTTCGTCTCGAGTTTCACATCACCTTTAGCATCGCACGCGCATAAAGGGCCAGACGCATTCGCGACAGCCAATCAGAAGCGTCAATGGTACTAATAACAGCTTTTCATTGGCTGTCGCAAATGCGTCTGCGAACTGCGTTCTGCGTTTGCGACTTGTGTAGACGGTCCTTAAGACTGTTATCCTATCGCGACGCGTCGCGTCGTTAACGATAAAAAACAAAAGCGCAGCTCGATTGCACAGTTAGCCGATCGAAAGCAACGCGACGCGACCGCGTTTATCGGTTTTCTCTGCAAGAAACAGATCGGATCATCATCCGCGATGATCCTCATTAATGACACACTTAATGACACGGCGCGGTAATATACAATCGGCGATAAATTTAATTTCGCGCGCACGGAGGGAAGAGACTTTCGTCGCGTTTAATCGACACGAAAGAATATACGATATGCCCTCGTATAACGCTCGATCAATGATTACGCCAGATTGCCGGAAGGAAATCGAGTCACGTGCATCATTCGCGTCATAGATGTCGTTTTACGTAACCGTCAAGCGTGCTCGTTTCAACGAAGGACCCTTGCCTTCGCCTTCGTAAGGTACGCGATGCCGAAAAAGCGTGATTCACACGGGGGGGGGGGGCGACTTTTCTTCGCTGGAAGCCGCGCGTCTAGTGACGTCATTAAATCGTCAGTGAATTCTCTGCTGCTATTCGCTTGAAGCCAAGCTTCTTAATTTGTCCGCCGACGAAAGCTTCTTGCACACGCGTGGTTTTTATTCGCTAGCGACTAAAATTTTGAAGTGTTAAGCGATCGCTAGTGATGAAGCGAATAGTTGGCTCACAAAGCACAACAGCGGCTCGAGGTATATCATTCGATGACATGATTATTCTCTGACGCTTACTCGATCCGAGTGGCCGCGAGACGTTCCGGAAAAATTCGTCTTTTCACGCGCTGACGGCTTAAAAAAGCCAGCGACAAGCGTCGAAAAGCGGTATACTCGCCGCGACTATACGCTATAAGAACAAACCCGCGTCTAGAAGAAGTTTTTAGTAGCGAACTCGCTATGACGTCACTAGACGCGGCTTCTAGCGAATATAAATCGGCCCGTGTAAATCACGCTTAAGATACGGACGAGCGCCACTTTCTCGAGCGATCACCATCGCCCTCGTCCACCGCGCCGACACGGTTCTGCGGTCTACGTTTTAGCGACTCCGTTAAAAGCGCACGTAGGACGCCCGTCTGATTGTTTATGCATCCGTGAACCGCCGCGCCTGCCCGATACCTGTCGACACGCAGATTTACGTGGGCGGAGCGAACACATCACACTTTGCCGCACGTTTTATTTTCTCCTCCCCTCCCTTCTTCTTACTTTGACCTATTTTTTTACGTTATTAAATTAATTTTATTTATAATAACGACTTCGCCGCGTCCGATCGGTGAGTTGAGAAAAGAGGTCGGAAAGAGAGATCGCTATTTTTTTCTAAATATCTTCACACGTGCATCATTGTACTTGAGATTAATTTTGGAGTTTTTTTGTTTTTCGATACATTCTTTTCTCCGCGGTATCACACTCGTGTCGTCTCTTTCCTTCCTGCCCACGTATCTTCGTGAGAAGGTAGAAAGAGAGAAAAAAAGAGAAAACGCCGTCATTTCGTACACAACTTACACAAAGAGTGACTGTAAACGCTAAAAATATTGTAGTATATGTTATTTTGTACAATATTACCGATGTCTCGTTTAAACAATTCAAGACGAACAGTCGGGTAAGTTTCATTCAACAGCCGTCGGAGGATCAACAATATATTGTGCAAAAATTCTTTCTGCGATCTCTTTTCGCTTCGTTTTCCGACTTCCGCTAAACTTTCGATCTCGCGACTACATACATTATTCATCTTCATTCAGCCGTTAATCTCAATGCATTAATACGCTTTTCTTAGAGAGCTTGCCCTAGAATTTCGAACAAACACATTTATCCGTGTGTCTATCGTCCCGACTCTACGACGCTTTCCGACACACGTATTAGCGCGTATACAAACCATTTTCCCGTTGAGACACACGCGTTGATCCCCGCACATGTAAACGCATGTGTACGTCGCCCGTAACACCTACGTGATGTCACGCACGGCTCAGAAATGCCGACCTTGCGGCCGCGGCGCGACTTTAAGTCAGTGCACGCGTAATGCGATGCATTCACGTTCGCCAAGCCTTTCGGCCAATCCCTCCGTCGTCGCTCGGTCGTGCGACGGCCGCTCTGATAAGAGACGGCGACGGCGGTGGCGGCTTATCTGCGACGCGGACGGCAGAGTACGTGTATACGCACGTGTGTACGCGCGCGATATGTAAATTGTAAATATTACGCCGACCCGGTAATCGCGGTCGGAAATATCAGGTAAGGCCTACATTAGAGACAAAACTTTTGACCTTTTTAGAGCCCTCGCGCCTCGGCGCGAGATCGACGTTCAATCGGCCGTACGTCGGTAAACAAAGTTTCGTTTTTTTTTCCTCCTCTTTTCTCTCAAGCAATTGAGAACGAGCGTGACGTAACGTGTCGAAGAAAGCCTGGAAGCGCGTTTCTCGAGGAATTGGAACGGGTAATTGATAATATTCCTCGTGACGAACGAAGGAATGAGCCACGGGTTCAATTCAAACTCTTCTCTCGACAGAATGAAATTTTTGATCCTCTTTCTATCTCCCCCCCCTCTCTCTCTCTCTCTCTCTCTCTCTCTCGTACGCGCGCGAGAAAGAGTAATTGAGTTAACTGCATTGGGATTATGCCAGAGCTTAAGCTTGGCTTAAATCAGAACTGTCTGACGAATAAACCGCTGTTACGTCGGCAAGTGGCTCATTCGTATTACTTCAAATTTCACGGCTGGCACGTGTCGATTTTCTCGCGAGCCAAGAAAACCGGCGGTGATTCAGTGGCGCGAGAACTATCGATCATCAACGCGCGTAATTGACAGAAATATATCCGCAAAAGGCAATGAGAGAGAGAGAGAGATTCCCAAGAATAAAAATAATTAATACGTAAATGTTCCGAGTATACCGTCACGCATGCGAGAGATATCGGTCTTTCCTAGACGTAATTTGCGCGCGACTACACGTAAATATACGTAATGGAAAATACGCCGTGTCTATTACGAAGTCGGTACAGTCGTGAAATAATAAGAAATGGATGATGGTCGGCCGATGACGTATCTACTTTTCCTTCTTCTAGCTTGATATAATGCGAGAATGGACACGCCGCGAGTACAAACGATAAATAATACATCAACGCTTCGTTCCGAGCGAGTCGGTTTGGTTTATCGGAGCGACGATCGATCGCTACTGAGAATAAGGAAAAGGTCTTTGCCGGTTCCGTTCAAGGATACCAATCGAAATCGCTTCTCTTTGTGCGTCAGCAGTGCGGAGAGAGAGAGAGAGAGAGAGAGAGAGAGAGAGAGAGAGAGAGAGAAGTCGATATCTCAAAATATGCAACGGAAAAATCCCCCAAGTGCAAAAAAATAAATTAAACTAATAAACACTAAATTATTTAGCAAGAACGGCAATTAAATCGATGCTTACAAACATTCCAATTTAATATTGCAAGATAGATGATTAATCACATATTTTGAGTATTAAAAGAAACTAAATAACAGCGCTTTAATAGCTAAGTGGGATTGGCCTTAATGCTTAGAATATCCCAAGCAAATTTTATCGTTATAGCTACAAGTATTTTCAATATCCAGTATACGTGCGTGTGTATAGAGTTAAATTGACATTATTTACACTCTTAAGAATATATAAAAATCACTTTGAGACTTTTCAGCGCGGTACTTTTCATTTTCCTCTTTCAAAACAAGGCTTTTAAAGTAATTACGTGTGGAGTGCCGTGGCCATCTACCTACTTAAAGATATTAAAATAAGTAAGTAATCGCTATCTTCCAGTGTGAAATTTCTGTAAGGAAATCGGTTTTTCTTCGTTACAATCGGCATTGGTAATCGTCGCGCTCGCGCTCGCGCGCCGACGACGACGACGACGACGTATTTGGCACCTTGACCAGACCAAGCCGATATTTGTCGGAGGCATACCGCTGAGCGACGAGTCCAACCCTCTATTTAACCAAGTTCGAGAACCCCGGCGAGGCTCTCTCTCTCTCGTCTGCTTAAAGTAAATTTCCGAGGAAGCCTATTTACGCGACGATGATTCCAACACTCCCGCGGCAGATGATAGATAACGGACGGCCAATCGCAAACTGCTGTTCGCTCCGTCGCACCCCGGGCACCCGGGGACAGATTTTGACGATGCGCCGTACAGTAATTGCGCGGCATTGCCGCGGTAATGACGTAAAT